TAATTGTGGAAGAGGGGATGGAAAGACTTAAGAGCCAGAGTCAGAATGCACAAGACCCAGATACACTTAAGCTAGACAAAATCCCAGCATAGAAGTGGGGACGTGGATAAGAAACCCCAACCTGGGTCTGGAGAGATGGCTCAGAAGATAAGAGCACTGGCTGTTCTTGCAGATGACCTGGGTTTGATTCCCAGGAATCACATGGTAACTAACAATTGTCTGTAACTCCAGTTGCAGGGGATCTGACACCTTCTTCTGACCTCCACGCAGGCACTGAATCACACAGGTGTACTTACGTTCATTCAGGCAATACACTTATACACATAAATAAGAATAATGCATAATTTTTTTAAAAAAAAGAAAGAAGCCTCAACCTTAGCTGAGGAAACTACTGGAAAAGGAAGAGTTGATTTTCTTTAAGGATATGATGCTAGATAGTTTGACCAGGCTCCAGTGGATAGATGCACAGCAAAGGACATTTGGGGACACAAACTTGATTTGATAGGCCTTAACACACACACACACACACACACACACACACACACACACACACGACAGAGTACCTGAAATCTGATGGACAGGGTTTAAGAGGGGTGCAGATGGAGGATTTTAAATATGATCAGAATATGTTGTATGAAATACACAAAAATTTAATATGAGAAAATTTAAAAATAAGATAAAATAAATTTAAAATCTAACCCAATAAAATCCCAAAAGTATCTAAAGCATTACTGTGGATTCAGAAACTCAAGAACTGTGCCTCTTCCTATTTCTGTAAAGCCAGGTAATTGTCTGGTGCCATTAGCTTGGAGAGGCGGGGAAGACAATATTGAATGTCAAAGAGCAAATGCTGCTGAAGTTCATGTCTGAATCTACCTTAACCATTCTTAACTCCAGAGCAGAAAGTACTAGAGGCTCTTAAGGGCCTGGGATTAGATGGATTTCCTGACCTAATTATGGAGTAAAACAACTATACAGTGCTTTGATGGACACTAAATGGCCCTATTGATTTTCTAGGATGAAGCCACCATAAAAAGCAAGAATTGGGAATAATAAATCATACGGTTAGAGCAGCTTTACTTGAGGCTACAGAAGCATTGCTGTGATCCAGCTGCCACATCTCTGGCACCTTGCAGGTTGTAGGATAATCTAGAATATGCTAGGACATACTCCTACCTAAGATACTCAGTTTTCTACTCTGTGATCCAAGTGCCTGGAGCTTCACACTCCAAAGACTGTCTCTGAACAAGTGATGTGTTAGACCAAAGTCCACTCCAACTTCACTAAAAATATCCTTGCAAAAGAGCAACTAAGAGTCATGTTGATGTTTGTGTACAGCCACTGACACTATGCCAGAATGACTAGTATATTCAGGAATCTCTAAAATGTTTCCATGAAATTTGGTGAGAGTAGCCTGGGTGGCTGACTGAAGTAAGGGATGATAGTAAAGCTGGGCATGGCAATCCATGCCTGTGATCCCTCTGGAGGTAAAGACAAGAATCTGGAGTCAAGCCCAGCCTTTGCTACATAATGACTTCAAGTCCAGCTTAAGCCACATGAGATCTTGCCTACCAAAAATGTGGAGAAATAGAACATACCAGATTGAAGACAAAAACCTTCTGTAGAAGAGAGGGGTTAGGAGCTGGAGAGATGGCTCAGCGGTTAAGAGCACTGACTGCTCTTGCAGAGGACCCAGGTTCGATTCCCAACACCCACATGATGACTACGAACCATCCTTAACTCCAGTTCCAGGGGAATCCAAAGCCCTCTTCTGACCTCCGCGGCATTGCATGACATGGGTGCACTCACATACATGCAGACAACATGCTCATACACATAAAATAAAAATAATAGAATATTTTAAAAAAAGAAGAGAGGAGTTAGTTCAGATGTTCTTTTCTTTCCTGTATTTTTAAAATTGTGCAATGGAATTACTGTTCATAAAAATAAACAAATAAACTGGGAAATACATTGGGACAAGATTGATTACCATTCTACTTCTTGATTAACTGACGTCAAGTTTCATTTAACTACCCACTTTGGCTCTCAAATATCTGTTATCTGTATCTTTTCATTCTGCCTTTGATTTTAAATAGCTTCTAGAATTAACAACTGTAAATTGCATACAGAGGTATAAAACTCAGGTACAAAGGTGTATGATTAGCATACAAACTTATGTCTCTTTAAATAATTCTTAGACCACGGGACTAAACCAGGCATAAGTGTTGTGTCACTTGACAAGAGAGTCCAGACCGTCTTCTAAGGAAAGTCAACCTTCTACAGTCAGATCAGGAAAGGAGACGCTAAAGACAGAGAAGAAAAACTCAGTGGAGGAAGAGAGTGGTAGGATCAGTAAAGCGGTCATTCACAAAGAATACATCAAACTGATCGGCAAAATATCCTTAAGAACACGAGAGAGCTGTGTCACCAGACAGACTGGTGTTGGGAAAGTTTGGGAAAGCCAAATAGCTCTGAGCTTGGCAATAACTAAGATGAATAATTAATATCAAAGTGAATATAAATAAATAAATAAATAAATAAATAAATACACCTGAAAAAATTAAATCAACTAGGAAGACTTTTGAAGTGGAGAATAAGAGACAGACTGTCTAAACTCCATTGGGACAAAGGAGTCCTTTGAAAGTGGAGAAAGACAGACTGAGACAGAGACGGTAGAGATACAAGAGAGAAAACGAGATATACTCACACTTCTGAATTTGTGGTTTCATGTCTAAGGATTCAGTCAACCAACCATGAATCAAAAACATTTGAAAACAAATTTCATCTCTATTGAATATATGAAAAATTGTCCTTGTCATTATTTCTTGAAAATACAGTATAGCAAGTACACATATAATATTTACATTGTTTGAGGTATGATAAGTAATATACAGGGAAGGATGTATGTACATTATGTAAAGGGACTCTAGCACTCACCATTTTTTTTGTTATTTATTTAATAACCACATGATTAGAAGAAGTATTTCATTACAGCACTAGCATATTCAATAACAATTTCCAGAGCAAAGATGCATTTCTTTCAAAAGTGGCTGTAAATTTTTAGGTTCACAGTTGAATTAATACAGTTATACAATATTGAACTCAGTATAAACCCTATAAGACATAAATCCACCATTTTTAGCATCCATAAAGGGCATGGCTCTGCAACTGCGACCGGAAAATTTTAATAGAAACTACCACTTTCAAATTAGGCACTGGGGATAAAATGGGAAATCACAGTTTTATTCCTAATCCTGCCAGCAGTAGGCCCAGGAGATTATCCTCTAAAGTCTGAGCAGCAGATAGTAGTAGTAAATATTGTTTCACAATATTTATAGATAATTCAACCTCATCCCCAACCCACTTTGGCATTGATGGGCACAAGAGTCACACAGCCTACATGACTGGGGGCCATGCATGGGATGGAGGGAGGTGTGCTGCATGATCTGAGTCTCCACCTTACTGGTGAAGAGGGGAGCATGAACTGGAATTTCAAGTGGGGAAGCATATTTATAGAAGCAGAAGCAAAAGTTAAACATGCACCTGTTTTCTTAAACAAACAAGATGAGTGTTAGCTTCAGTAAACTGGAAGCTGTTTTCTCAAATTAACAGGGGCAGTTTTTTGTTTTGTTTTCTCCCTCTCTTTCTCTCTCTCTGTCTCTCTCTCTCTCTTTGTCTCTCTCTCTCTTACTCGCTCTCATTCTTTTGTAACCTGCTCTGAGTTTTTATCAATTAATTTTAGTTTTCTTTCTCAAAATCTCACATTTACCCAAATTGCATTTGCTAATTTATTTCCCCCAAAGGGAAAGCAAGGTAACTAAGCTTAGAAGAGGCTTTTTAAAAAGATTTCTATCTCACAAGAGTGTAAGATTTTTTCAAGCACAAGCTTCCTAAAGCAAATGTTCTAGGAAAATGGAGGCTAGGGCCTAAAGTCAGAAGGACGTTTGTCTAAAGTTTGTGTCAGTCAAGCTGGTGAAACTTAGGCCATCTTGGTTTTGAAAAAGTTTCCCACGAATGGGAAATGTGTCCCTGGGGTAACTGTTTTGTATTGTGTTTGAAGATGGAAGAAGAGTGAGGTAGACAGATACAAGAAGAAGAAAATGACCAATTTTAGCTATATTTTATTTAATTTTTTGAAATTGACCAATTTCATCTAATGGCAATAAGAAAATTCCCTAAGAAGGCAGAGATTCAGACAACTTACTGGTGAAAAAGAAAAGAAAATATTTTCTAAAGCAAAGAAGGAAAACAGTTCACTTAGTATGCTACAAAGAGAGCAGCACGATAACAGAAGAGCCACCCCAGGTAAGGAAATGGACTGCGGATCTCTTCTTACCATGAGAACGAGGGCAGAACTGACTGGCCAGTGTTCAGGCCTAGGAGGTTGAAGGGATCCAAGGTGCTGTTCATTTCCAGCTCTAAAATTTCCACCGTGCAAATGAGAGCCTTGTAAAATGTTTGGTCCTAGGCAGAGTCTGGGGTCACAAGGCAGTGGCTCAGAGATATCAGGATACAGCTTTCTACACAGCCTGGGGAAGCTCGGCTTTCTAGACCAAGCTTGTGGAAACTTACTGATGAAGACCAGCCGATTCTCTTTTCCGGTCTGTACTAATGGCCTTTGTTCAATATACAGGAGTTTGCAGGTTCAATGGCAGAAGTGCTGGCTGACAATTTGTATTTATTTGTGATGAAAAGCAGTCATTTTGCCCAGAGAGGGAGAGTCTGCAATAAAGATTTCAGAGTAGCGAGAGCAGGAAACCCAAGAAGTGTGCATTTGGGGCAGGGAGTCCCTCTCCCGCCCACAGACCTTTGATGTTTCTCTTGGAGAAATCACACACACACACACACACACACACACACACACACACACACAAGGTAAAATGAGGTCTCCCAGTACTATTGTTAATGGGATCCAAAGTACTATTATTTGCCTAGATGTGCTGTTCAAGACTGAATACATTTTAAACAAGTGGACTTTTTGATGTTCTCTTTTCACTCAGGGAAGTGGTGAACATGGAGCTGGTGGTCCCAAAGGAGAAAAGGTAACTCAATTTTCAATGCGAATTAGCACACTCACATGTAGGGGGCGGCCCCACTGTGGCAGCCTTGCTTCCGGGTGGTGTGGTCACTGTGAACAGGAACCTCAACTCCTGACTGACCAGGAAACAGGACTGGACGGTGCACAGGTGTCCCTTGGGACCACCTCAAAGCAGCAGTGGGCTTCAAGGGAGGACACAGGTTGAGAAATGGTGGTGAAAGGTAAGAGAAATTCGGACCAAGGTTATGTCTATAATTTGATGGTCAGGAAACTGTGAGGTTGGCCAGTGCAGCCTGAAAACTGACTTGACAAAATGCTTGATGCTCAAGTTAACTGGCTTGATTGTTCTTAAAATGCAGGCTGTCATGGGTGTGCTTTTCGGTGGCGTTTTATCATGCCCAGTTGTAGTTTTAGCTATACTGTATAAAATGCACAAAAATTCAATTAAAAATATATATTGAAAAAAATCCAAAACAACAACAACAAAAAATTAAGTTAAAACACCGATGCATTTCCATGACTCTTTCGGCCTTCTAAAACTCTAGGTCTAATTTTATTAACTGTGAAGAAAACAGATTAGCTTTTCAATGGAAAATATCACTCCCGCTTCATTATAAAACTCTATGACCTTGGATTTGCTGGGGCTGAGCCATGGTCAGAGGAAGAATTAAAAAATAAAAAATGCACATTAAATCTGTAGACAGGGGTGTGATTTGAAAACACTCTCAGGGCTGATGGCCGCTGAGAACTACCTTCATCCACCCACCCAGGAAAAGTTCTCTTCATTAAATCTGTAGACAGGGGTGTGGTTTGAAAACACTCTCAGGGCTGATGGCCGCTGAGAACTACCTTCATCCACCCACCCAGGAAAAGTTCTCTTCATTGAGGCCATGACATTCAAAAGGAATCCAAGAAAATATGACGTCTGTGCCTCATAAATCAGCACAATCTATTCAAAAGATTGTATATCCCTCAGCAGAAAACACCACTAAAAGGTAAAGAGTACTTTCTTATGGACTGACCATTGAAAATGAAAACTTCCGCAAAATAAATAAGGAAAACATTGACATTCTGAAAAATGATTCTTAAATGATTCTATAGACTGCAAGTCACTCCTGTATCTTGGATTTTGAACAATACTTTGCCCACAGAAACCATATCCATCCTCACAAGCACATTGTGTATTAAGCAGTTACTATAGAGCACATGCAGGCTAAGGGGTGGGGGGAGAAAATAAAAGCCACAAAACTTGTAACACAGGACAGCTGAGTGAAGAAGGAACTTGTGACACTCTTAAAACATTTAAATGATTATTCATTTCTCAAACAAAACAACTGGCTTCTGTTTGGCTATCTTCATTAGAAAACATATGTCACTTAGGAATTCATTAGACCTAGCTGAGGAGAAATCTGATTCGGTTAAACAGGTGTATTTCAAACTCTAAGGACCTTTCCTATAGCTCATACTCTCTACTTCAGGATCTTAAGTGGAATTAGAAAAAGACAGTGACATAACTGTCCCATCTTCCCACCCAAATAGATATTCTGGAAGCATCTACAGGGAACTTGATTCTGTAGCTAATATAAATGTACCTATGAAAGCATTTTTAAAAAATTATTAACAATGGAACAGCCTTGCCAATAAGTAATGGATTTAAAAAAAAAAAAAAGAAAACATGTTTACCAGCTGCTGAAAGAAGGAAGTCAACCGTACTACATACATCTTCTTTCTGTCTGCTCTAGATCAATCTTTTCATTTCATTTTTATTTATGCTTTCACGGTGGAGATGTAAAGCTACTCAGTAGGTTTCTATCTGTGTTTGTGATGCCCAGAGAGGCTCCACACCTTGGCTATACATTAGATCCACCAGGAGGATCAAGAAAAATGCCTGTGGTGAAGCCCCATTCACAGACTTTGATTGGAAGGGAGCCAGTAGTTCTTTTATTTAAAAGTACATCAGAGGAATCTGACATGCAGAGTGGGAACCACTGAGGGGTGAAAACAGCATGGGCTTTAGGATCAAAAGTTAATGATGGCATTAACCATTATGTCACCTTGGGAAGCCACTTCATTCCCCTAAGCACCAGTTTCTTGTGTGTAAAGTGGACATAATCATATCTACAGGAAGAGCTGATGGGAGGATTAAAATCCAATGAGATGAACTTATTGGAAGCACAGTTCTTAATACACATTAAGCCCTCACTAAATATTTGCTTTTCCTAGTCATCTACCTTAAACCTTCCTCCCACGAGGTCTCATTTAGTTCTTTTTGCTACTAATTGTTGTCATCCTTAACACCTTGCCTTGCTCTTCTTTGCACCCTCCCCTGCATAATTTTGAAGTGGAGGAACTCGAGTTGGGTTGTAAAAGGCAAGATTTTACCAGAAGTATAATTTAAACACATGAATGATTTATCATGCTGTATATCTATTCTCAATGCACCAACTGGCAAATTAAAATTATAAAAAGCAGCCTATCATTTGGAAGTTAGCATCACCATGAGGGAGCAGAGCAAGCACAAATAGTCTCAGAATGTGCATACAAATCACTTCTGGTTTAGCAGAAACATCCTGTGTTAAGACCATCAAGACCAGGAGAACCAGAAGAACCTAACTTGTGTTACAAAGTAGCTGACAATGGAGGGCATTGCAACCACAGGACCAGACTCTCAGCATTGAAGTGACTGTCTCTACTGGTCACTTTCCAGAGTCTGAAAGGACTTGGTGGAGGGTCATGCATTTGCCCATTAGTTGAAGGGAACTGTTGCTTTAGAGACAGAGGGACACGGTGGCAGAGTAAAGACTCCTGAGAAAATGGCAGGCATCTCTTGGAGCTGAGTGTCAGGAAGACAAGAGGGAATCTCAGTGGCACATGGTCTTCAAAACAGCATCAACACTGTCAAACGTAGCAATGGTCTTCTCATGCTCAGTAGATTCATCACTGTCTTTCAACTCATATCCACAATGATAAATCATTGAACACCCATTTTAAATATAGAAAAGAACCCACAAGTGTCTGACATTAGCTATAATATTTTTTACTAAATTTCTTGTGATGGAAGGGTTTCTATGGTTTTCTCCAAGGCCAGACTTGCCCAGGGAATGTGCAGAGGTGGATCAGACCTCTGCTCAATCCCTCTGCTGTATTACACTCCCTACTTGCAGCAGTTCAAACACAGCACCACAGCATCTTTGAATGACATCACAGCATCTTTGAATGACATTGTTCTTACTCCTCCATGGACATTCATCTCTTACTCTTGTGATTTTGGACTGATGTGTATTTATAAGTAATTTCTAGCCCTTTCTCTTGCTTTCTACTTCTGTTTACTTAGATGATTCTAATTACCTGGAGAGATGGCTCAGTGGTTAAGAGCATTTGCTGTTGTTCTCCAGAAAAACCAAGTTTGGGTCCCAGCACCCATACAGGGACTAATAGCTGTTGGTAGCTCCAGTTCCTGGGGATCCACCACCCTTTTCTGGCCTTTACAGATATTGTATGTACATGGCACACCTACATACATTCAGGAAAAACACTCATACACATAAAATAAAATTTTAGAAGATACATAATAAAAACAATGCTGAAGGAAGAAAACAAGTAATAGAATGTTACAATATTTTTTAAAATATTTTATTTATTATTTTTATGTGTATTTGTGTATTGCCTGCATGTAGGTAAGTGCACCCGTGTCCAGCAGTGCCCATGGAGGTCAGAAGAGGCTGTCGGATCCCCTAAAACTGGAGTTACAGACAGTTGTTAGCTACCATATGGGTTACAAGATTTTTTTTACAAAGCTCTTTATAGAATTTGTTATTCAAAATAATTTAATGTTTATGATTCTATATAGGCAGTAAAATTTCAAAAATATGAACTGAATGCAAATACTAGATTCATGGGAGACACTCTCTCCAGGGTAGGACTACAGAAGGGAGTAGAGAATTTCTCCTCCATGATTTCAATTTGTTTTCATTTTGATTGTCTAATATATAAAGGTATAGCATATTTATGTTTTCTGTATCTCTGGGAGCTAAAATATATATATAAGGGGGCTGGAGAGATGGCTCAGAGGTTAAGAACAGTGGTTGTTCTTGCAGAAGACCCGGGCTCGAATCCCAGCACCCACATGGCAGCTAACACTGTCTGTAAGTCCAGTCCCAGGGGACCCGACAGCCTCTTCTAACCTCCATTGCATGACACAGGTGTACTTACCTACATGCAGGCAATACATGCATACA